GGAGCAAGGGGCGGGGCAGTACTGAAACACCGTCTAAGCTGTTCGCCAATCCCAACGCACTGGGACAGCTAACCAATCACATCACATTTCGTTTTTCGGAAGGCGGGCCTTCATCAAACCCAGAACTAATCGAGCCGTTTGTGCCAGGATGGGGAGAAAGGTATTTTAATAATGTAAATTATGTACAAAAATAATGCGTTTTTCGAACCACCAAGCATGAGAGCATGTTCTAGTACACCCCCAAAACAAATTCAAGACATTGTAAAAGAGCATAATAGGACCCCTTTAACACTTAGAGATCACACCATTAATTGCACTCCCAAGCTGCAGACACTACTAAAGGTGCTGCTTCATCACAGGTGCAAAAAACATAAATGACACACACTGGAATAATATTAACCACGTTAAATAATATCCCTTACATAAACAGTACTTTGGTGCAGTAATGCCATCCGATATTAATACTATTATTACACATTAGTACTGTTAATATACCAAGATACTAGAAGATGACCACGCAATATGTCCAAAAATACATAACTTGCAAAAAACACAATGGTTTTTGTGTATTCTTGGATGTTCTGTGGATACCATTATTTATAATGAAATAAGTATAAATATTTCAAAGTACCATAGTATCACAATCACTGTACCATGGTACTGCCACAGTACGTTTTGTAAGAGATGGTAGTAAATGGCACATATTCAAAATACCATGGTAAATGTACATAAAACCATGGTGTTATGTCCAAATAACATGGTCCCATCCCAAAAACATGGAAGCACCATGCAGCATACCCAACAAATGATGGTATTGCTACTTGTACCAAAAATGGCTTGATAGAACCACGGTGTCCTGAAAAATAGGTTGTACCATGGTACTTTTTGGTAGTTTTTTTTTTTATCAGTAGCAGAGGACAAGCAAAATTTCACTTCAAAACACTCATTCAGGACACACTTTAAAGCATCTTTACCTTATTAATTTACTCTCAGCACTGTATCTTCCTCTTCACCACCCCTCTCAAGAAAATACAGAATCAATAAGAACATCAATATGAGCTCAGAATGCCCATTCAATGATCTCCAGTCTCCTGAAAAAGATCTCAGCACAGCCCTAATCTTGTTTTAGACTGACTGCGGCTGCTATTGCCTGGTGTCTGAAACCAAACAGCATATTTAGGCTATACAGAACGATAGTTATATAAAGTGACAAAGCTAATAAGAGTCTCACAAAGTTCTGTTTAACAACCCACCGAGCCGAACACGTAAACCGCCTCCAAATGCCAGACAGAACAGCTCAAAGTTCAACATGGTCAGTGAGGGAAGATGAAGCGCGCTTACCGTGCGCTGTTTCACAGAGCCAGAGAGAGTGATGCGGCGCGCAGCATCCCTGCCATCCTCAGTGAGAAGACTTCTACTGTGCGCTCTTCTCCGGCATGACTGCAGCTCCTCAGCTCTCCTCCAGCGCACACAGCTGCAGGCTGAGCATCATGGCTGGTCTTGTGCTCTCAGTTCATCTGCTGTGGAGCGCGCGCACTGCCGCCTACTCTGATTGAGTTTCGAGAGCGCAGAGGCTGCGATGATCGCTCACTTTCTCCGGGCATATGAACCATGTGATGAGACTCATCCCTCCATCTGCGCGAGCCCGATCAGCGCCACCCAATGGAAAAATGATGCTATTCATCACTAACGCGATTGGGCCGCCCATTGGAAAATAAAATCGGCCCAGTTCTGAAAGATTTACGATTTACATTTATTACGTTCAAATATGGTGGTGCGGGGCTAGTTGTCACAATATGGTTTGGCGTTGAAAGTCTAAGTACACAAATGTGTTTTATCTGGTTCTGTAATGTTGGTTTCTAATACCTAGTTCAAAACAAACCTTAAATCTTTAAACCTTCAAACGTAAATTGCAGTGTTATATTTTTTTCTAGTAGCCTACCTATTATATACAAACAATACATAAGCAAACAAACAAATATTCAGGCAAAAGTTGACTAATAATTTAACCTAAAGATTGAACTGCACACTTTGTGAACGGAATGTTTCATAAATGTCAAGTTGTCACACGTTTATAATATCATAACATTCATTAGGCTATTTACAATATCTGTTGGCTAAAAAAAATAGTCTATCAATTGTTTGATATTTTGTACCAAACCACGTTTATTCATTCATTCATTCATTCATTCATACACGGTTCCGATTGTGACCATATAGCCTTTACATCAACATCATGGCCCGGTCTCATTACTTACAATTTAGATTAAAAATGAAGTTTAATAGGCTACGTATAACGTCATGATAAGCATTGACGACTTGGGCTTTTTCTAAGAAATTACTGGAGTCAAGGAGGCAGCATGATTGTACTGATTTTATACAGCAGTTCAATAAACTAGAAGTTAATTTTGAGAAAATTACATTTTAGATTAAAATATTACCTGTTAAATTTGTTTTAGTACATGTGTTTTGTTGAAGGATTCCGTGTATTGCTTCGAATACTAAATGAATCAGCATTTTTGATCAAATCGGTTGAATAAATGATCCAATGACTCACTCAAACGTCACTGTTTTGATCTTGAATGAATAAGTATTTCTAGGCTAAATAAATCGGGGTGAATGTTAGAACGAGCCGTTTTAGGTAGGTGTGGCTGACTCTTAACTTTTGTAAAGAATATCTCTTTGGATTTGAGACTTTAGTCTTTGCAACTTTACAGATCTTCTTTATGCACCAAGAGCTTGTAACACTCCAAAGAGAAAGGAAAAATTGAAATCGCATCATATGACCCCTTTAAATGATTCATTCACAGTCGCCACCTACTGGTGAACCTGCAGAAAGACTTCCTTAAAAAAACATTGACCCCACCAATAATACAGGCTGACTGCTCAGCCAGGATTTGAGGACCAGAACCTTTGAACACTGCACATATATATTTGATACCTTATTCTGGTTCTGGTTCTTATTCCTCTTTACATTATTGCATATTTCACATTGTATTAAATATGCTATATCTCATTAACACTGTATATTTCATAGGACATTATTTTATTTATTATCAATTATTTCTCTTACTCTTACCATATGGCTTTTAGCTCTTCACTTGCATGTCTCAGTGTCTGCTTGTGTTATGCCTGAAACTAAATTGCACCTCTGGGATTAATAAAGTTGTATTGTATTGTACTGCCTCCACTGGACTATATAACCCTTTCTTGTAATGTGCACTGTAGAAATCAATAGTTTTAATCAAATAATAGCTGCATGCCACACTTTACATAAGTGTTCATGCTCCAATGTAATTACAGCATTAATCAGTACAAGTAAGTGGGTAAGACTAATGAACAATGTGCTTATTTTCTGAAGCAGCTTATAACTACAAATTGTTATTGCTATTGTGATGTATTGAATTTAGCATAAATAACATGGTAACTATAATGTAAAGTGTTTCCTAAATAGCTCTAAAATATGTATTATTTATTTATACATTTTTACTTTTTTTATGATCTTATTTTATTTCCTTTGGATTCTCTTCTTTAGTTAAAATAATTAATTTATCATAAATAAAAAAAATTTAAAAGCACATACAGTGGTGATTCATACAGTATTTGGGCAACATCCAGTAAAATAGACATGGCTGTGTTTAAAGTTGGCCTAAATATACTTACTGTATCACAACTCTTTTATGACTGTGGGTCTTCACCAAAACAATCAATGAGGAACTCACTTTCTCTGAGTGCTCTTGTGCTTGTGTGTGTGGGCTTGGGCAGGTTTTATACTCCTCCGTCTTTGTTCAAGTCTGATTGTGGTGCTTATTTACGTCTGGCTCATAGCACAGGTCTCGTCTGCTAACTGGCTTGTCAGTCTGCATTAGATCTTGCGGTTTGAAAAGTGTACAATAGAAAGGCCCAAGCCCCCTTTTAGAAGAGCACACATCAACACACTTTAACTGGAGGGAGGTGATGAGCAGTGGACCCCTAGGATCCCATCAGCCTACTCTTACTGATATAGCCCAGTGTGACCTTCTTTCCATTGCTGGTGTTTGCGTGGGTCATGTTTTGCCCACAATGTGGGGACCAGCAGAGCAAGCAAGCAAGAGGCTGTGCAGAGACAACAGTGAGGTGTGTGAAAGTAAAGCTAACAAATCACTTCACAAAAGAATGAAAAAACATAAATGAACGAATAAAATGTAAATAAATAAAAATGAATGAATGAATGCCTTATCAAATTTGCAAGTCATTGTTAATATTTGTTTATTAAATCTTTGTACATTAAAATTAATGGTAACACTTTACCTAAAGCCTTTATATATAATGCATTATAATGTTTTAATGCATTAATTATGCGTTGTAATGCACCTTATAATGCATTGTATGATCTCATGTAACTGCAGTTATAATACATTATAATACTTTAATATTCGTTGTTACACCTTTAAAAAAGTATAATGCATTAAAACACATGAAAAACAAGCCTACTAATATTATAATGCATTTTAATTTCGGTTACAATTATTTATGAAAAGATATAATGCATTACATTGTATATTATGAAAACATTTGTAATGCATTATGCATAAAAGCTTTAAGTAAAGTGTTACCAAATTAATATTAAAAAGAGTAATGTTCTTCAAAGAAAACAAACTAAAAGAAAACAAAAATGAACAAATAAACTTAGAAATAAGCAATAATAAATATGATAACAAACAAACTAATACATAAATGAATAACGCACAAATGTCTCCCCAAATTTTGCAAGCCGTTGTTAATATTAAAAAAATAATCTTTGTACATTAAAATTGAATATTTACAAAGGAATTTGTAACAAACTAAAACCAAACAAAAATGAATTAATGAAATAAATACAACATCGTAACAAACCAAGAAACAGGCAATTAAAATAAACAAATAAAGTGTAGAAATATCTCATCAAATTTGGCAAAACATTTTTAATTTTATTAAATAATATATTTACCAAAGAATATTCTTCAATGAAAACATACTAAAACAAACCAAAACAAACAAACAAACAAACAAATAATAGTGTTCAGATGTCTTATTAAATTTTGCAAGTCATTGTTAATATTCTTAAATAATCTTTAACATTAAAATGTAACATTTACAAGAGAATAATGTTTTCAATAAAAACAAAAACAAAATAAACTAATAAAGCTGAAATAATTAAAGATGATAACAAACAAACAAAGTGCACAAATGTCTCATAGAATTTTGCAAACCAGAATTACTACAAAATCTTCATACAAATTAAATATACAAAAGAATGTTCTTTAAAAACAGTATTTGCAGTTCTCTCATCTAAAAATATCACCAAAAACTATTTATAGCAGTTTGTGTTTGAGCATGTGTGTGTGTGTGTGTGTGTGTGTGACAGAGAAGAGGGAAGCTTTTAAGAGAGGAAGCAGAGGCTACAGTGATGTAATGAGAAGTGAAGTGTTCCATGGCAATACAGGCTCAACCTGTAAAAGATTCATCACTCTTCTTCATGTTCAGAGAGGAAAGAGCAAAGCAGCACGGGGGAGGAACCGCTTTTAACGGCTTTTCTATAATGGATCAGCACAGTACAGTCAATGCAGTGTCTCTCTGAACAGACTGAACATTTACAATAGTTATGTATTGATAAAAAAGTTAAGCTTGTTATTGTGTACATTGCTCCATAGTCTTCCATTGTATGTGTATAACTGCAACAGAAAATTAGACCAGTCAAATCAGCAAAGAATAAATACTGCATTATGCTCTGCACTGACTGCATTTCCTCATTTATTTGTCTAGTAACTCATTTTCATACAGTAGATTTAAATGTCAACAAAAAAAACAGTAAAATACAGTAAAAATAGTGAGGAAAATATTATGCTAAGAAGTTACTGTGGTGAAAGATGATAACTGTGTTTGTGACAAATTTACAAAAGTGACAAATAACACCAATTTACACCCGGTTACATGTTAAAAAAACTAAGTAGGATGTAATTGTGATACGCGACCAGCAGATGGCGCCTTGGATTTGATAATAGACTTCAATGAGGCGAACATCAGTTCCTTTAAACTAAAAAATCCCAGAGTGCACACTTTAAAGCATAACATCTATAGATACAGACTGCTTGCTGTCCACAACATTCGTGATAATAAAATATCTCAGCCAATGCTATTTATCACTCCGCACACGATCAAAAGTGACAAATAACACCAATTTACACCCGGTTACATGTGAAAAAAACTAAGTAGGATGTAATTGTGATACGCGACCAGCAGATGGCGCCTTGGATTTGATAATAGACTTCAATGAGGCGAACATCGGTTCCTTTAAACTAAAAAATCCCAGTGCACACTTTAAAGCATAACAACTGTAGATACAGACTGCATTTGCTGTCCAACATTCGTGATAATAAAATATCTCAGCCAATGCTATTTATCACTCCGCACACGATACAAAAAATAATCAAAGGTATATATTAGTGTAAATCCTGTAGTTACTGCAGTCATTGTTCCTGCAAACTGTGGGAACCTGGCGTTCACCATCACTGTCAAATAATTAATAAACAAATAAATAATGATAAAGATCACATAAAATATATCTTCACTCATAATAAGA